ATCACATCACCACACGCACTCTGGTTTTTCTTTATGCACACTTCCTATAATTTATAATCTTTATAATCTCTTTCTGCTATTTGCACATTTTTACTGTAAATTTCTAAGTTAATTTGTACATTTTTGTAGTAACCTGTAAATTGTAAATACTGTAAAACTTTTTTTTAATGGTCGGGCATTGTACAGCTACAAGCATTTCACCCCATGTCATACTGTGTATGGTTGTGTGTGTGTGTGACAAATAAAATTTTAATTTAATTTAATTTAATTTAATTTAATTTAATTTAATTTAATTTAATTTAATTTAATTTAATTTAATTTAATTTAATTTAATTTAATCATCTTAGTGTCAAAAACTGCAGCAGTTTTTGTATTTCTTAACTACTGCAATGCATTGTGGGAGCAATAATCCCTAAAGGGGACAAGTGGGACCCTTTAGGGGTTATTGCTATTTTATTCGGTATTGTTTGGGATTATCATCTTCAATAATTATCTTTTAGAATTTTATTGACTGTCATATTTTGCCCACGTCTGAGACTGCTGGTCAGGCCTAGATTTTGGGTGTTACAACAACACAGGATTACTCAGGAAAACACACAAGAGTGAGAGTTGCTGACCAGATTTTACCGCCGTAGACAGGCAGACGGTCTGGTGAAGAGTGGAGGTCCGTGCTGCTCTTAAAACTGCTGCACTTGATGATCAGATTGAGCTGCAGATGTGGAGAGTCAGGCTTGAGCCCTGAATTTGCCACCCAGAGGTAGGCTGCTGTTTCGGCAGGAAAGAACAGCCTAACCCCGATCGAAGACAAATGAGGGCATGACAGTTATTTTGGTTTAACATGTCTTAATCTTTCCATTTTACTTAGTACTCTAAGGAGCTTGGAAAGAAAAGCGCCTTCTTCCTTAAGATTCTTTGAAGACGTTTCACCTCTCATCCAAGAAGCTTCTTCATTTTAAGGTCAAATGATGGAGAGTCTCCAAGCTTGTGTTCCCGAGGGTGGTGGGGGTCGGTGTTGGACCAGTACCTCCTACTCCCAGCACCCTCTGGAACACAACTCAGAGTAATCCGGACCCTACAACACCAGGCAGAAAATGTTCACTCTAAGCCTGAAGGTGGAAAGAGGGAACGCACACAAGTAAATAAAGCTCTTAAAACATGCGGTATTCCTAATTGGGCTTTCATCAAATCAGCAAAGATGCACAGAAAAAAAGATTAGATGCCAACTAGGGAGGATCAGAAGGACAAACGGAACAATCCACCGGCCCCAGGGGCCGAAGCAAGAAAAGGAGAGGAGCGCAGAGAATCGCCCGTCCTGGAAGATTAGTTGTTTAACTGTAAAGAAGGTCAAAAGTGCTTCAGACAGAGGTTCTAGTCTAAGCACAAAGGCAGAAGCAGGAAACCACCAGAATGAGGATCAGGGGAAGCTAGAAAATAATGAGATTTCTGAGAGAATTAGCTTCAGTAATGGTCTGTGATTTTTATGCTATGACAACTGCCCAAACACAACGGTCATCCCACATACAGTCCACCCGTTAAAGGGGGACAGAAAACCCAAAGAGGGAAAAGAAGAGAACTGACACCTAGCGGGTAAAAAGGTGTGTTTGTAATGTTTGAAGAGATGTGCTGCACTTTCATTCCCAACAATATGGCCCAGATGGTTCTGTAACTAGAGCCCTGAGAAGACTCAGAACATCATTTAAAAAAATTAAAATGCATGAATATTTTGGAAATGATAATCTATTGGAGGAGTGGATGACGTCTGTCCTTGGTTGAGGTTGTTGTGTGCCTTCTATCCGAGGTTTATTGGTAAGGTTGGTTAACAGGGCTGTTGGGGATCTGATACCAAGGCAGACAGCATGATGATGCTTGATGACTTTAGTAGTGTTGATCAGCTCTGATCAGATCAAAGGAGGGATTGTTGGGATTAAATAATTTGCAGTGTCTCAATAATGCTATACTTTTTATTAATAAGTGTTATAAAGTTATATAGTGTTGTATTAAGTGGACACAGCCCTGAAAAATAAAGGCATGAGACCATGTGTCCTTGGGGAGTAGAAAGCTGTAGACTCTCACTCACGCTTGCCTGGGAAAAAGTAGATAACAGGGGACCATCGTTAGTGGGAAGTTACTGAGACACTGTTGTTTAGACTAAAGTGAGAGAGCTTCTTTAATAAAACTCTTAGGGGCACATCACCAATTTGAGATCTGCTGCAACGTGTCATGCAGGACGCATCTCCCTTCTAGAAGTAATTGTGTAAGAGAATAAAAAGAACATGTCTGAAATGGTCTACTGAGCAGTCTTGTCTTCCATCGGATGCCTCTGAAGAATCAAAAGAACTCAGTGAAGTGATTATATTTAACCTCCCATGTTTAGCAGGTTTATCAGAAAAACTCAGGAGGGTTTTCCCCAAGCACGACATCCCAGTTTACCTCAGACCCAGCAATACACTCAGACAAACTGGTTCATCACAAACACAAACTTAGCCACATATTGTTACTGGACAGTGTAGCAAGGGATGCCCAGACCTCTACATTGGAAAAACCAAATAGGACTGCAAACCGAGCAGCATCACTGACTTTCAGCTTGTTGTGTTTGTGGATATATTACTGACTTTAATTATCCACAGGGGCGATTGCGGCTCAAGATTTGGCAGTTTGTCTTGTAATCGGAAGGTTGCCGGTTCGAGCCCCGGCTCGGACAGTCTCGGTCGTTGTGTCCTTGGGCAAGACACTTCACCCGTTGCCTACTGGTGGTGGTCAGAGGGCCCGGTGGCGCCAGTGTCCGGCAGCCTCGCCTCTGTCAGTGCGCCCCAGGGTGGCTGTGGCTACAATGTAGCTTGCCATCACCAGTGTGTGATGGTGATGACTGGATATGTAAAGCGCTTTGGAGGTCCTTAGGGACTAGTAAAGCGCTATACAAATACAGGCCATTTACATTTACAGTCCCACGCGCGCTACGAAGATGTGGGATATATGCGACCACGAAGTCTACACTGGTCCACACTTCAAATTTGAGGAATTTTGGAGTATCCGATTGGGACAGCTGTCATCACGTCACTGTGACGTAATAGGTTGCTGGATTGGGACAGAGCCAAAGAAAGACAGAGGGAATGAGACACAGGGGGAGAGCATAGCTGGGAGTAATCACACACAACGAGAAACTGAAAACACTGAGCAACAGATGGGAGACTGTCAAAGTAAAACAGGAAGAATAAGACACACGCTGAGAGGTGGACATGACACTGGAACCGGGGAAGAACAGACATAAAAACATAACTTCACTAGATGTGACACAAGGAACCCAGGGGAGGCAAAGAGACAGAAACCAAGAAAACTAAGAAAGAAAAAGCCTAATCGCCGCCTTCTATAAAATAACAAGGTGAGTTTAACTTTAGTTTTTCATAGTATGCATGTTATTTTGAATATAATCTGCTTGTATTTCAGCTGAATGCTATTATGTGAATTCAACTCTACATGTATTATAGGAAAGTTAATAATGATAATCCACAGCAGATCTGACCAAAACTCTGTTCTATCTTGCTGGCTGTGACAGGTGAAGTATACAAGACTATTAAATTCTTAATATTAAACGTTGTAGTTTAATTCATTTTATTTTTAGCTTAAGGGAAACAAAGCAAGTACACCCCCCCCCCCCCCCTAAACAAACAAACAAAAACAAAAAAACAAGAAGTTTCATGGACTCACTGCTCAGGGAGGAACTTTTTGTTCCTCGTTTTACTCAGAATAAATTCTGACCAGGCTTAATGGCTGACATGGCCAAAACTATAACGTGTTCACCAAGACTGCTGAAATTCCTTTATGAACTGAACAACTCTGAAAATGCAAGAAAAGCTAAGTGTATTTTCTTTAAAGCCCAGATGGAACTCGATGGACTTACATGCAGATTGAAGGCTGCATTCAGGACTTTATCACACTGGTACATGAAGAGAGGAACCAAGAACACGTGTGTGCACACATCTACACACTTGCTTGGGAAGTAACCATGACATCATTTTCAGAGGCGTCTTTAACATTTAATGGTTGTGAAATATGTCAAACCTCTCTCCTCTAACTAAAGTTAAACAGCTGAGAGCATCTTGAGCAGATCGGAGAAAAAGGTGCGCACTGAGGATTTTCAACAATGGTGTTTAAGCCATTGCTGGAGGAGTGTGGACTTAGATCCTTATTCACTTAGCTGCTGTTTACAGTTTAAAAGTCTTCATCAGAACAAGCACTTCTAATTGTACTTTGCTCCTCACTGTCTTTGAAAAGGAAGAGCTGACAAAAACAAATCCAGTAAATGCATTTTTATCTTTAAATTTGATATAGTAATCAGTCCTAATCTATTTTAATATTTTATTCAGTGTTTTATTTATTTATTATATGGGAAAATGTCCTGTCAGCCTTGTGCTGAGAGGACTGTGGTCATCAATCTGTTTTGTTCTAATAAACTCAACTTTCAGGAACACCTTCTTGAGGGGGGCTCATTAAATCGGTTTATTCATAGCTTCACTTAAAAGGCAACAAATCTTGTCTCAATGCACGTTGTATTGTAAAGACTGGATATTGTTAAATGTTATTTTTGTCAATATTTGTCAGGTTTCCTGTTTGAAGAAAAACTTTGGAGCCACGTGAATGCATGTAAACACATTTACGTGAGGACAAACTGATTTAAAGGAAAATAAAAATGCTCTGAATTTAAAGGTTGTGAGTTATTTTGTTCATGTGTTAGCAGTTTATTCATTTTATGACAAGATGGAATTTTCCGGAAAAGTCAGTGTACTTTCATCGTAATAATAATAATAATATATATATATTTTTTAAACTGTCCTGGCAGAAATTTACTAGGACCTTTTCTGTTTTTTATGGATTTATTTATTTGTTTTTTTCAATTTTAAGTTGACTCTAAAAGTCAGATTACTCCGGAAGTGCAGTTATGGCTGACTACTTTAAGACATTAGAAACTGAAACTGTGTTTTGTTTTTTGCTTTACTGCGTCAGTGCTGAGAGGAGAGGAGTGGCTCTGATCTTGGTTACGCTGAATAGTTACCGTATTTGATCCTCAGAGGGTTTCTGCAGACATGGAGCTTCTACCACTTCTGTTCTGCTGTTTCCTGACTTTGTCCGGACTGACGTTTGGTGCTGAATCCGGTAAGAAACTCATTGATTTAGACCGATCATGTGTGCAGGCGCAGTCACGTTTCACAGCAGCGGATGCAGCTTTCACGCTTTTCAGGCTGCTGCTTTAGTGGGTGGATGACTGCGGCATCTACACCTGTGACATCAGCTGTTAAAACAGCCGCATTTTAGTGTTGAAATAAAGACAGAGCAGATAAATGTGCAGTATCTGAATGCATGAAAGCATTCTAGTTATTATTTACGATTATTTATTAGAGATCCTCATTATTTCATGATTTTATTCTCAGGTGTGGCTTCTTAACCAGCGGTTACTACGCTGCTTCCTGCAAACACAGATCTATTTTCTTTCCTTTTTAAGACATCGAATATGTGACATTTGTTTCTGATTGAATATAAATTTTGTTTGTGCCCACTACATTAACCTTTTTAAAGGATCTATAGTGTTATGAAATCTTAGAGGGGTCAACCATATCATGTATGCAGAAAACTTACAAAGATAAAGTAGTACACATTTTATTGAAATGCAGAGACTCAAATATCATTCTTCATATAAGATTATCAATAAATGTTTGAAATAAATCACAGTATTTGAAAGTTTATCTTCATTAACATATGTTTATCTATATGATATGTTATCTATTTTCCAAAATTGTGCAGAAAATATCATTAACAAACTTTTAAATCTTTTGGGGTTCAGTACTTTGAACCATAAAAACCTGATGCAACTGGTACATATATATATATATATATATATATATAAAATGTACAATATGCAAGTCGTAAGTAATATGTAATAAATAGTGTTGTGTATATACAGTTGAGTTGTTGCACATGGAATTGGTATTGCACAGTGGTGGTCCATAGAGGAAGTGGGAAGTGGGGGGCTGTGTTATCTGTGCATGTGTGAGTTCAGGGTGGTTATCGCTTTGGGGAAGAAACTGTTTTTGAGTCTGTGGGTTTTGGTGCTGATGCACGTGTAGCGCTTCCCTGAGGGAAGCAGGCTGAACATGTTGAAGCCAGGGTGGGAGCTGTCCTTGATAATGTTTGCTGCTCTGCTGAGGCAGCGGGAGGAATAAATGTCCATCAGGGAGGGGAGAGGGCAGCCGATGATCTTTTGTGCTGTCTTGACCACACTCTGAAGCCTCACTCTATCTGCTTTGGTGCAGCTGCCGTACCATACCGTGATGCAGTAGGTTAGCAGGCTCTCAATGGACGAGCGGTAGAAGGTCAGCAGCAGGTTGGAGTTCAGCTTGTACTTCCTGAGGACTCTCAGGAAGTGCAGCCGCTGTTGGGCCTTCTTGATGACCGCTGAGATGTTTCCTGTCCAGGAGATGTCAGCAGAGATGAGGACACCAAGGAACCGGAAAGTGTGGACCCTCTCCACACACTCCCTGTTGATGTAGAGGGGGCCAAGTCGGTGCTGTGTCTCCTGAAGTCAACAATGAGCTCTTTGGTTTTCTTAGTGTTCAGTGCCAGGTTGTTTTCTGAACACCATGCTGCCAGCTTCAGGACTTCCTCTCTGTACTCTGCCTCGTCTCCCTTCGAGATGAGTCCGACTACCGTGGTGTCATCACCAAACTTGATGATGAGAGTGTTGTTGTGGGTTGAACTGCAGTCGTGGGTGTAGAGAGAATACAGGAGGGGGCTCAGCACACAGCCCTGTGGGGAGCCGGTGCTCAGTGTGCGAGTGTAGGAGAGATGAAGGCCGAGTCTTAAGGTAAATAGAACTAATCCATAAATGTTTCAACTCGTCAGGCCATGTAAAACAAGTGGAAGCTTACACAGGTCAGTGCGAGTGACATGCCAAACAGATAATTGTTACAAGTGTGGTTAACAAAATTTGAGACATTATTCTTTCATCTCTTATCTTTCTTTCAGTGTCTTTTCTACACAGACATAGGACCTTCAGCACCACTTACTAAAATATTTAATTGAATGTATGGATGTGTCTATTCCATTTGATTAAATTCCACTCCGACAAAGACATGCTACGAAAGAGAGCCATTGATTAATAATAACTAATAATTAAATGCAAAGTGATGCATAAACACATAGCGGCTGAAGAATAAAAACATCCAGTGCATCATGGGAATCCCCCAGCAGCCTACACCTATTGCAGCATAACTAAGGGAGGATTCAGGGTCACCTGGTCCAGCCCTAACTATATGCTTTAGCAAAAAGGAAAATTTGAAGTCTAATCTTAAAAGTAGAGATAGTGTCTGTCTCCTGAATCCAAACTGGAAGCTGGTTCCACAGAAGAGGGGCCTGAAAACTGAAGGCTCTGCCTCCCATTCTACTGTTAAATACTCTAGGAACAACAAATAAGATACGATGGGACCTAATTATTGAAGACGTATGTGAGGAGCAGGATTTTAAGTTAAATTCTGGATTCAACAGGGAGCCAACGAAAGGAAGCCAAAACAGGAGAAATATGCTCTATTTTTTTTATAGTCCCTGTCAGCTTTTTAAGAAACAGTTTTTACTGTTTCTTAAAAAGCATTATGACTTTTGCTTAACTGACCAGTCCAAATAACTGTTTTACCACATTTTGAAATGATTATTCAACGCAAATCTATTTTCTACTTTTTTCTTAGGTTCTTGTGCAGTGTCTTTTCATGTAATACCATGTATGCAGGTATTTTACACCTGTATTTCTGATCATATATTCTAATTTTCATGTTTAATTCATGTTTTCTCTTTTAGGCTCACGTGTGATTGTGACGGAAGATGGCAATGCACTTTTAAGCTGCTCCCTCAACAACATGAACATTAAGCCAATGCTCTTTGACTGGAGAAAAGACAAGGATAGGCTGCAGGTGTTTATGTATGATGATGGTACTCTTCATAATAAGGGCCCTCCAAATCAAGCAGAGCAGTTCAAAGGTCGAGTTTCACATTTTCCTGAAGAACTGCAGCACGGCAACGCCTCCATAAGAATTGAAAACACTAAGGTGGCTGACAGCGGAAACTATACCTGTGAATTTCCACGTATCCAGCCAGAAAAAATATTCCACATTGAGCTTATTGTTGGTGAGTGATGCAACATTATTTAAACATTATCTAACATTATTCACCAGTGCAACAGTCAGAATGCACTTCTACCAGTGTTCCATCTTTTGAAATCTTTTGTTAACAAAATAATGACTTTTCTATATGCATGTTGGTCGTATAGGCCTTCTGTCTATAGAGATTTCAATTAAAAAAAAACTAAATTAATGTCAATAAATTCAACTATAATTAATTTTTTTTTTCATATGTCAGAATAAACATGGTGTTTATTATATTTTCTGGGTAATTATAATCCATCCAAGACCATGAAGCAGTTTCTTCTCTACATGTAGAGTCTTTTTAGATCATTATAAAAATTATGTGTAATATAACAACCTAACAATCCTGATTATCTTTTATTCAGCTTTACTTGACTGAGTTAAAACCAGCAATAATCTCTAACATGTCTGTTTTTATTTTTCCTTTTAGAGCCCATATTAA